ATATATATATATATATATATATATATATATATATATATATATATCTCCTCTATTTGTTCTGTTTCTCTGGAGAACCTAACACAGTCACATAAATGGAAGATGAGGGCCTAGAATCCAGGTCTGGAGGTTTGAAAGCTGAGACTCTTCTGAGGTCTGGTGGTGACTCCCTTTGGGTCCACGATTTGGACTCCACAGTTCTTACTCTGTACAGGGCTGTACTGCCCAGGGAAGGGCTGGGGGCAATCAGGGTTATCTGAGCCAGGATGGGGGAGGAGACATAGTGAGGAAGAACTTTCCAAGCTGAGGAGTTGTGTCAGCCAAGACAGAAATGAATCTCCAACTCTTATCAATTTTGCTTAATTTAACTTTGGAGTTCTGCCAAGGCTTACACTGGAAACATCTTCTAACTGACTCCAAAACCTGATACTAGAAGCCAAGAGTCTTCCCAAGGACATTACCTGAGGGCTTCCAGCACAACACCTGGTGCACAGTAGGTGTACGATAAACCTTGTTAACTGTGAATAAGCTCCCATAGCACTTACGTCATTTTAATGACTTTAACTTCCTTGGGAATGGGTGATGAAGCCTTTGATTTCTAGAGGTTCCTGATGGGCACAGTGCCCCATGCTCACCTCTGAACTTCCAAGTGACTCCCTGTGTGAGGGAGCAAGGGAAAGACATAGGTTTGCTAACTACAGGTGCCAAGGGAGAAATTCACAAATGCAGTGTCCCCACCAGAACCTGAACCCACAACTTTACAATTTTCCTGACCAGAAGAATTCTCTCTCCTGCTCTACTAACTTGGCTCCAGGCTTCTCCATTTCAGAAGTTGATTCTTGCCAGATGGTGGTTCATTATCTTCAATGCAGTGATTATGTTTATTTATTTAAATGTCCTTGGAGCTTCAAATCATAAACTTGGTTTTGCTCATCTTCCTTTTGACTCAGAGTAAATGCTTTAGAATATAATATTCCCCATTTAAGTTTAACAGAAAGAACCTCACAGCGTTGAAACACTGGCAGAATTTAAAATGCAGATTTATAAATAAAATCCAGTTAAAAATAAATATATATGGATTAAGAGCAATAAAGCTATCATAGAAAATCTAGAAAACAGAAAACAGTGAAAAGCAGACAAACGTTCTTAAGTAGCACTAACTGATAAACCCACCCCTACCACCATTCTGGAGTAACCCTCTTTGGTATTTTCACTATTTGTTTTTGTTTGTTTGGTCAGTAGAGTTTCTTTTTCCTTGGCAATTTTACAATAAATAAAGTAAAAGAGATTTTGTTCAAAATGCGTTGTTCAAAGCAGAAGTGTAAGTGATTCCTTCTACTTTGTTAGAGCTCCCTTCCTGCCTTGCCAAGTGCTGTGGGCACAGAGAGTGACCCTGGAGACAGAGACAATGCCAACTGTAGTTCTCCATCATGACCAGCACTGCATTTCCTGGTTAGGAAAATCCTGGAAAATCCAGGATGCTGAAAATACCCAACTCAGGCTTTCTCCTCTGGAATTCATTGAAAAGGTGACATTATCTACTCAGGACCCAGCTGCCCTGTTCTTTTTTCTCTTCCACATGCTTTTTCTCTGTACAGAACTTCTGACACTGAAGCAGACATTTGTACATGAAAATGATACACAGAAAGCTGAAAGAGACTGGAATCTCTCTCCTTATCTACCTCCATGTGGCTGCTGACAACAGAGATATATAACTTCTGGGGTACATCCAACACATGAGCGATTGGGACATCCATATATCACCCATTTCTTTCTTTCAAGAGTAGTTTCCTGATTTTTGCAATCACTTGACAGGTCTATATTTCACTGTTTTATCTGCTTTCTCCCCATCACTGATTGCTGATATAAATGTGGGTAGCAAAGAATCATTCTTAAGACTTTTCCCTGAGCTTTAGAGTTGCTACCAACTGCTTTGACACAAAAACTACAAGTAAAAATAGGCTCCACAATGAGTGAAGTCAACTGGGAACTTTTATTTAGAACCCAATGAATTGGTGTCTAGAAATAGGTTTTCCATCTGTGTGCAGCCTCTTGGCAAAACATGTGCATTTTCACTAACCTATGTGCTAAATTACTGAGCTTTACTGCATTTTAAATTATTTCATATCCAACTCATAGTTGCAGAGATATGTGGCATTCATCCAAAAATTTTTTTTTTGGCTTAAGTTTTTCTCTTCTAGGGATTAGGACAGAAGCAGATTTAAAGCAGAGTGTTACTGGTCAGGACCTACCCCCTGCACAGGCCAGCTGCCAATATAATAGTTCAGTGTTTGACGGTTACCTAAGTGAAATTGCCGGAAAAAGACACAATGTTTAAGACAAATCTTTACCCGCATTAATGAACGAGTCCCAGGAGAAGGAAATAATGTAAAACTTAACATATGCCAACAGCTGTGGTGAATGTAAACAGTCATTCCAGCTTGATTAAGGTCATCAAATTTTGTTCCCCCATTCTACCATACGTTCTAAGTAGAACGATGCCCTGGAAGTGACTAATAGTAGAGGGACCAACTTTAAAACAAAACTAAACATCTAGATAAACATCGTGGATTAAAGAAATTGAGCACTATACACATATTCCAGTGACTGTACCAGTTCCTTCCCTTCTCATTGGAGTAAGTTTGAGTCATACAGAAAAATATGCTTGTTTCGTTATGATAATTAAATCTACTCCCAAGGATGAAGGTCTGTTACCATTGATTATGTTCTCAAAACTGGATCTATTTGTGGGTTAGAAACAGGTCTATTAAAAACAAACTCATCTAGCCATTGACTATCTTGATTACCGCCTGTAGGTGTATGACGACCTACACCCATGTCGAGCCAATTTGGAAATGCTCAGGCCCCTCTGGAGGGGGTGAAGGCAGGGCCTTCCATGGTTCCATTTCCATTGAGACAGATGGCCACCAAAGAGTAAGACTCTTGGGAAGCCCATGTACTCAAGATGGTTCAAGAACAAGGCATCATTGTTCGAAGGGAGGGCTACCTCAGAGTCTTCTGTCTGTCACTTATATGTGTCTGCTGAGTAGGAAGAGAAGACTGTAATTAAAATTAAAAGTGCTGCGGTTATTTATTGCAACTGTGCTTTAAAGAAAAGAATTCATAAGAAAAAAAGATTGCAAATAAATACACCAAGAAGTAAAAAAAAAAAAAAAATTAAAAGGGCTGCTTCACTAAATGGCTGAAACTGCTCAGTAGTAGAGCGAGGGGTAGCAAAAAATAGAGAAATGCTATTTTCATCGTTATTTGGATCAGAACCATGTTTATAGCTATCTCATGAAACAACTCAGCAGGCCTGGTCCTTCAACATTTAAAACAATTCTTCATGGAGTCTTCAGATCAAACTTTCATAGTACTTATCTAGAGAATATAAATTATCACCAGAGTTTTCATTTAATAAAGGCAGTGCAGTGGTTAAGAGCTCAGGCTTTGAAATGAGGCTGGTGTGGGTTTGAATCCCAGCCCCACCCTTCACTGGATATATGACCTCAGGCCGGCCATTCACCCTCTCTGAGACCCAGTTTCCTAGTCTTACCAGAAAAAATGTTGGTTAAAAACATAGTACATTATCTAATCACAGTTGAATTTCTGGATTGCCCAACACAAGTCAGGAATGAAATCGGCCTCCACTTTTCTAGTCAAGTTGCCAACTACCAAAGAAAACTCTTATTTTTTCACAAACTACTTCTATTACAGCTCTTCAGATAAAAATTGGCCTGGGAAAAAAATAAAAATAAATAGTGACGCTTCAAAGCAGTGTCCTGTGGTTCTTACCTTGTGACTTGTCATCCTGTTGCTCCTCTGGGGACAGCAGTTGTGGTTTGAAGCAACGATGGTTCCTATTAGACCCAACTTAAC